GATGTGCACCCTCCCTGTAAAAGTTCTGGTTACGGCCCTGATTCTAGGCTTGAGTTTGGATCATATGCTGACGCCATTCCATGTTCGATAAGACGACAGACCATTGAAGAGACCTCGATTTTCTATTTCTTTGACAAACAATTGCCATTGGCGTCATCAATGTTGACACTGACATTATCAGTAGGTTGAAACCTGATACACAGACGCTGTTCGCTTGAGGTCTTCAAAGTTCTCAACGATCTGCTTTTAAGTCGAGCAGTCGTACGTTTTCTTGAGTAAAAATCTCAGCTATTTATATTCTATATTGTACAAGGAACTCTCTAAGACTTCTTCGCTCAAACCAGTTGTCTTTTACTCTACAAGAAAAGGTAATTCCCCACAATGACTACACAAACAATTGCTCCTCGCTTCTGCGCCAGAAGAAAACACCAACGTGTGAATTGTAAGCTAGTTGCGTCGGTATCAATTATTTTATTGACTCGTTTCTTTTACTGCTAATTAAACTTCTTTCATGCCTGAATTTTAATAGAATCATTTAAAGTTTTCTACTTCCGTATTTTTGTCGCCATGTTAATCGAAAGCACGAAAAAACATATAGTTTCGTAGTTTCGGGCAAGCAGTTCAAGAAGGAAGAAAGTACAATAGCTAGTGTTCATTTATCGCATGTAAATTCATAAACCGCCTAACATAAAAACTAATTCGATAAACACATAAACGCAAGTAAGTCAAGTAATAATGTTTTAACGACGGTGGCACGAACGTGTGTAAACGAACGAACCTAGTTGCTATGCCAACGCATTTGTTTTGACTTTGTTTTGGCAAATCAGTAACATAATTTTAGCTTAGTGATGACCTTTCGACTCTTCTTTTCTCATTGCGTGTTTCTTTGCTTTCTTGGCACGTTTTTACTTCACTTACTCTTAATTCGAACTCGGATTTAGCACCATGAATATGGCAGAGGCCATGAAAATTTGAACAAAAAAACGCCCTACGTTTTTCAATATTTTTGGGAGTTGCATTGTGCTATGTCAAACGTGTGACTATTACCTTGGTATTGTGTGTGTAAATGTATCCTATAGTGTACAGTCAATTCAAAAAACGTTGTCGTCGACCGGCTCGAGCCTACGCGACTGGACCGAAAGGAATATGGGTAAAAATCACTGAAGCGGTTAAATATTCGTTCTGAATTAATTGTTCCCGCTAGTAATAAGATAATAATGGCGAGAAACAATCCATCAAATACATGTCTTTGTGTTTAGGGAAAGAAAAACAAAGTAGTTATGATTCAGTTCACAATTTCGAAAACGTGAAGGCATTTAAAAAACGTCTCCTTCAACACTTCCCGCTCGTCTACGGAGGTTCGTGCTGTAAACCAGGCATAACTAGTCACATAAAAGTATGGAGTCAACTCGGCTTCAATGATTGCTACCCAGAGTTCCTTTCGGTCCAGTCGCGTAGGCTTGAGTTAATTTGGTCGACGACAAATTTTTTGAATTGACTGTACGTTTTAGGGATATTTTGGTCTTGGATACGGTAAAAAATTTACGCCGATTTGTCTTATACACAGTTAGGGCTGTTTTAGCATGAGTGGGAAACGTACACGGCACGCCATGCTGTTACATTGAAATGGTTTTCCATAAGTCAGAATGGTTATTGTTGTAGACGGTACGGCATGCTGTAACATTGAAATGGTTTTTCCGTACTGAAAAGATATTGTTGTGCACGGTGCAACATGCCTTAACATTGAAACGGTTTCTTTATAAAAATGGTTATCGTTGTACACGGTGCAACATGTCTTAACATTGATATGGTTTCCTCATAAGAATGGTTATTTTTGTACACGGTTCAACATGCCTTAACACTAAATTGGTTTCCCATAAGAATGGCAATTGTATGAGTGGGAAATGTACGGTACTCTTACACAGCACATAATACGACATAGTTCTTTCCTGAGTTCAATAAACATGATGCATTGTGGTCTAGGTTCGGTACAAACAACATCATATACGGCAAGATAAACAAAAGATGTTTGTATCCACGCTAGACCACAATGCAGCATGTTCGCTATCTCAGAAAAAGTCTGTGCTGTAACATTGAAATGGCTTCCAATCATTGTATCGCTACCCAATCATACGAAAACCCCTCTATTGTCAAATGGTTGTTGTTGGTTAAGGGTCCAAAACTAACTTCATTCAAATCACATATAAAGTTAGTGCAAAATCCCCGCACCACATCCTCGAGGTCCATACTGCCCTCTATATTTCATCAACACTCTTTTATTTTTTTATGTTTTTTTTAGTGTTTTGAAGAAGAATATCACAATGGCAACCATTCCACTTATGTACTGCTTTCAGGTTTTAGCACTTCTCTTCTTCCTTAATACTGAAAGCGTGTTGTCACAATCGCTGAACACCACTACTTTGCGTACGTAATTTGTTTAATATTACTGTCAAATGCAATTTTAGCTGTGACTGAAAAATTAGCTATATACTATATGCTCTATGCTCTATGCTCTATGCTCTATGCTCTATGCTCTATGCT